GAGATGATTATAAGGGCTTTATAACCCTTAGGTACGCGGAAGCCGAGAAGGCCGAGCCTTGCCGCAACAGCCTGCCAGGTGAGAATGACCCGAGATTGACTGTGGCTAACGTCGACATCCAGCATTTTGGATCCGACTTCGCAACCACATCATTTTTTTCCGTTTCTAGGCAAGAATCACGTCCTTCTGACTGTGGCAAAGCTTGCCCAGTGGCTCTGGCTGGGTTGCAGTCCACCAAAGACTCAAAGGATCAAATGAAAACCATTTGAGCACGTTCCAATACATCTTTCACCTCACAATGTTAGAATTTCTGGCTGGCAAAATAACCCTTATTTTACCCTTATAATGGGCACCCTTAATAACCCTTATCTTATTCTAAGGCCTTAACTTCCGTGGGAACCCTTATTAACCCCTTCTTTTGCAACACTGGCTCAAACGACTCGACTTCGATGGAGCGCTCGGCACAGGATCCCTCCAACGGCGAGGAACCACGCCGGAAAGACAAAGCGCGGAGGGCCTCGTCCTCTAGCCTGTCGTTCATGGCAGCGACCGTATCGTTCGCGTGCATAAACACCGCCCGGAGCTTCTGCTTCAGGTCGTCCTCCACCCAGCTAAATTCGTCGCCAATGAAACCGAATTGTTCGACGAGCTGGATCATATACGCAATGCTGTTGGGCGTCGGAGTGGGTACGCGAGTATAAGGGCCGACCGGATGCGATCTGTCGATGGCGAGAAATATTTTATCCTGCGAGGAAAGCATCAGCGAGAGCCAAAGGGGTGCCACCGGAGGGAGCAGTCCTCACAATATGGATCATATACGCCCCGAGCTGGCCACGAATCCAAGGCGAATCACGCGGGACCGGGCTCGCATTGCGAAAACGATCGCGCAGCGCCATAATGACGTCACGAAGCGGGCGGAGGACCTCCAGGCAGAATTGGCGCATGACGGGGCGGCGAAGATAGTTCGACATCTCGATTTCAGAGTCGAAGTCGAGGTACACAACTTCGAAGTCGGACCGGAGGCGAAGAGTAGGGGACTCGTCGAGACGATAGTCCTTGAGAAGTGCAAAACTGAGTGCCATAATCAAGAAGGCTACGAAGAACAAAGAGGGAAAGTATGGAAGTACGAAGCGGATCCGGGATCCTTTATAGGGAAATCACTGCGCGCTAACAAGACGCCGGAGTTGATGGGCGGACGAGACGGCCACATCCGTCGAACTGGGGAAATTCCTTGGGGGTCCCCAGGATGTCGAAGGACCCCTGCGCACGAACGCGGAGCGCGTCAAGAACCTCTTGATAGCGCTGGACCTGGAAGGTATTATCGTCTCCGGCGAAGCCAAATGCATCGATAAAGACCCGGAGGATCCTCAGCATGTTGAGGCATTCGCTGGTGACGCATATGTCGTAGCGTGGCATGCTCGGACCATGATCCTTGAGCTTGACTTCGATGGAAAGGATATAAAACGCGACACGATCCTGATAAAGAGCCGCCGGAGGGGTCAGAAAATCCACGTCCGGACCAGGTTGTTCAAGGAAACTCACGAGGACGGAGAGGATCGTCGTCACAGCTTCACGGATCGACATATTATCCGCCTCCGAAAAATCGGCGGAGGAAGGCTGCAGGTGGTAGAACGGATCCACCAGCATATGAAGCGTGGAGAGGGGTAAACGGCCCTGGATAAGCAGGTACTGGCGTAGGGGAAGGTTCGGACGCCATAGTTCCCCCGGAGCCGGACGAGCGTCGAGCTGCTGAAACACTCTGTGGAGTACCGCGAATTGCGAAGGGGCGGAGAGCCTCGAGAGGCGGGAATTGACAACCTCCATATCGACGGCGGTCACAAAATTCAAGTCACAAAAAGAAATTCATATTCAAAAGCAACAACGAGCCAGTTCGCTATGTTAAGACGGGCCAGCTCGCCGGAGTTCGTAGTAGATCCATCACGGAAGCTCTGCGATCGACGTCACCACCCGGTGGTCAAGGGCTGACGCATCATACGCCCCGATCTTTCGTACTCCGGATACTCGCCACGCGTCTGCAATAGAAGTGCCCAGCAGGAGGACACTCTCGAAAGGTGCCGGAGGGAATGCTCGAGCTCTAGGGCCTCGCAACGCTCGCTGCCCTCGAACCCGTAATTATCCACCAGATCAGAGAGGATTTCAAAGACGCGTTTCGATCGATCCGAAACAATGGGCTCGGGAGGAATAACGCTGTGATCCATAACTCCGTCCCAGATTTGGACGTAGGAGGGGTACTCCGGCCGTTGCAGAGAAATGAGGCACTAAGGGGAATAGGCGGTGAATAAGCAAGGAAATTTGCTTCCGCGGAACACGATCGTACCACAAGCTCTAGCATCTTCCGGAGGGCGCGCCGCACCATGCCGTACGTCGTCCGGGATAGGTGATACGGTCCGCAAATGCGCCCGATGTAATACGGGTCGAGGGCCTGGTGAAGAAGGTAGACGGCGGGGCGAAGAACCCGTGGAATAATCTCTTGGATGGGCATCGGAGGGACCCAGTGTTCACGCTGCATGAACGTCTCTTCTGAAATCTCGAGGCGCGCAATATGCATGCAGGCGCGGGAAGCCTGGCAAGAAACGCTGAGCTCCTCGTCATCAGAAAGCTTCGGAGACGGAGCACGCGGAGGAGAATTGTGGACTGGGGAATCCATCGAGCGAATGAGGAAGGGGACTCCAAAAACCACGGCGTTCTTATAGGAAAATCGAGCCTCCGAAGATCAGACAATCACTAAAAAGGGCACAAAAGCTGTCTGATGGAACGCTCTATGTCGCGAATATTCTACGCGACGTCCGGCGGGGCCTCATACACCAATAGATACGGTCTGCCTACGATAGAGGGGACCATAACCCTTGAAATCGACCGCTGGATCCAAAATATCCCAAGAACGAGCAATCCGGACCGCCTCCATGACTAAACTCTCGTGAGCTGGGAATGGGAGTTCGGTTTCAGGATCCGTGCAGTATACGAGGAGCATGACATAGAAGTCGAGGAGGCAGAGGAGGGAAGTCGCGCGTATCGCGCCGGATCGACACTCTCCCTCCGCCCCTTCTAGAACCTGCTCCGGAGTAGGAGACGCTGCTCCACTATCCATGAGAAGACGCTGGGAAGAGCATAACGAGGCAAGAATCAGTAAAAGAGAAAAGGAATATAGCGGAATAAGGCCTACCAAGACGTCAATCATGCTCCGGACGCTGTTGCGAACGAGGTATAATTCGTCCGGATGAAGATCCTTGGCGGAGACCCAGTCCGAGGCGTCACCACGGAGCTTCTGCTTCAGCAAGTACACAGAGGGCCGAATAACGCGCTCCATGATGGACGAGGTCTTGTTGCTGTGGTACCGAATGGCCTGGTGGCAATATTCGTTGACTATGACATAAATTTCGACGACGCCGTACGACGTGCGAGTGAGGGCAAGCGGTTTGTAAATCATGGCAGAAAGGAAGGCGGAGGGCAGTACTGGAGGAAGAAAATTTATTGGGGAAACGCGAAGGCTTTATACAGAAACGGATCGGAGGTTATTCTAAATCGGGCGCCCCAAATAATCTCGTAGGAACGAGCGCCGGAACCCATAGTTCCCGCAAACTGGTCACGGAGGAACCAACCTGGACCGCAGCAGACCCAGTACCGACTCCGGGAGCGACGTAGGAACGGATCCCTTTGGATTTTTCAGCAAGATCCGCAGAACGGGGCGAAGGGTGTACCATCGCTGAGACTATGGCTTCGACGCTCTTCTTCGACACGCTCAACGCTTCCCCCGTAGTGGAAATCTCGACTTCAATATCCGTCGAGACGCGAGATAACGCAAGAAGGGTGGATTCGACTATCCTTCCTGCATCACTCCAGAACTCCGGACGTTCTTGAATATTGAAAGTGACTGGAGAAGGGTCTTGGAGGGGTATACGTGCGAAGGTGGAGGGTGATCGACGATGGGGAAAGAAATCGTCGAGAGTGCGATGAGGGTCATATTCCTCGTAATCAAAGGGACGAGGGGTATTCATGGCGGTGTGAAGGAGAAACGTCTCCGAGCTGCAACGCAGGAGGAAAACAGCCTCCGAGAAGGCCATCTCCAGAGGTCCAATTCCGCGTTCCTTGACACCATCGTCGCCCTCGAAACCGACGGCGAGGAGAAGAGCGCCGAGTAGATAAAACATCCAGCTGGCCTCCGTGGGCATGTTGAATCGACTATAGCACCCTCGGAGCTCGTTCTGACGAAGACGAGCGGCGTAATACTGGAAAGAAGTTATTACGCTGGAAAACGAAGGGCCGCCGGAAACGTACCATATGCTCCACAACAATACGGAGGCAGACGCGTAGATTGAAGGCTGCGTCAGGGGTAAGGGACGCAACGGTGCGAGTAGCCCATCGATCCTCGAAGACGCCCAGCGAAATCAGGAATATTTTGGACCGCAAATCCTCGCGGAGGAAGTGACGAAGACCTCCGGGAGGAAGTGCGTACGAGTCAAGCGGGAGACGTGTAACGGAGCGGTGGAACCTTCCAAGTGCGCAGACGTCCATGAAGAAATGGGATCACTCACCTCGAATTGATGGCCTTTTATATGGGGATCGCCGAACGGGGGCGCTCGGCATTTCAAAAGTAAAAAGGAGATGTGAGGCTCCACTTTGTGTCGACTCCGGAACCTGGCCTTAACAGTAAAATGGACACCATGGGACCCGCTCCGGGACGACAGTAAAGAAACTCACCGGATCGCTGGAACAACCAAAAACACCAACACCTGCCGTCGAACGCACGATCTGACCTGGAATCGAACAAGCACCTCCGGAACGAGTAAAAAGAGACCGGACCGCGAAAAGCGTTAAGGCAACGGCGAGGGAAATAAAAATCACACGAAAAGACCGCCCATGATCCGACCTTGATTCGAACAAGGACCTCCGTCTACTGGGGAATACCCAGCAACGGCGCACTACCAACTGTGCCACCGGACCGATAACAAGCCAACAGCAAAAAGGTTTCGAGTCAGTTACGCCCCATCCAGGAATCGAACCTGGGTACCCTCCGAAACGATTATTGTCCAAGGACCGGAAGAGGGTGCGCACCTTGCGCCACGGGACCGTTGCAAAAAGAGTCGTGAAAAAGGAAAAGGCTCTGGGAAATTCCCCGAGCACGAATCGAACGTGCAACCTCGCAAAGACAAAGGGATTACGAGGACGCGGTACCAACCGCTACGGGAGGTTGACTATAACCAATTATTCGAAGAGATCGGACCACGCCCCAAAAAGGAGGCGCGCTCACGCGCAGCCCACCACGAGGGTCGAACTCGCTACCTTCAGATTAAGAGTCTGACGCTCTAACCGTTGAGCTAGGCGGACGATATGATCGCAGAATAACAAAGGAAGGGGGAGAGCAGCCAAATATAGAACCAATCAAGAAAAGCAAGGCGCGGACTTCGACGAAAATATTCGTTTCGCGACTTGGAACGGGTTAAGGCCTCCTCATAAAAATCAGGAACGCGCGCAGGAACGCAGAAATAAGGATAGGATGCACGAAAACGCGCTCCGGAGGAGGTTACGAACCCAGATGGCAAACGTTATGCCGCTCCGGACGCGTTATGCCGTGCCCGGCAGGCCGGAGGCCACACCCTAGGCCATCTACGGACCCAGGCAGGCACCCATTACTCCTCAGCACACGAGAAGCCTGCGCGCACGCAACTCCGGCGAAGCGAAACTCGAATTATACGGTTCCCGCTGCGCGCCCACGCCCTCCGGACGCGTTCTACGCGTCGAAAACACGACGAAAGGACGAGTAAAAGACCATTCGAACGACAGGACGAGGAAGCCGCCGAATTACCGACGCTAGGGTACGACCGGACGCGAGAAAGAGGGACCTACGCGCTCCGGAGTCAGTTTTTACGCGATAAACGGGCTCAGCGCCGGAAAATGAGACGGTTATTCCGTGAAAAGGGCTTATACTGCGAAAGAAGGGCATCCAGCCGCTCAGATTTTGATACAGCAGGGAAGGCAGCGTGAATCTGCACCTCCGGCGCACTTAAACCAAGTCGCAGAAGCCCTCCGCGCGCCCAAACGACGTCTTTTACGCCTTTTTCACAAGAAAACGCGCTTCCGCGCGTCTACTGCTGCCGAATTTCTGCAGGAGCGCTCCCAGCGCCGCGCCCCCCGGCGCCGCGACCCCCCGACGCCGCGACCCCCGACGCCGCGACCCACCCAGCCGCGACCTACCCAGCCGCACGACCCTACGCGGCCGGGCGACCAGCGGCCGCAGGCTAGAAAAAAATTAATATAGCGGCTTCGCGAGCACGTGATCACGCGACGCGCAACGAAAAATACGCGACACGCGCGACTTTCGACGCGTCCGGAAGAATGTACACCGTGATAACGACGGGACCAACCACCTCGATTCCGCAGATTAGCTCCGGACCTAGGAAAACTCGTGAAATATGGTATATCTGAATTTTCGCGTTCGAACTTGGCGGATTCGCGACCGTCCCTGTCAAATATGGTGCTCCGGAGGATCTCGTAACCGAGGAACCGCCGTAGGAAGCATCCATTCTTATTCCGCTGAACGAATCTCAAGCCTCCGGACGATTTTTGAATATCGCGCCCAAAAAGGAAATTCGACGCAGGACCAAAATATTCAGAACTCGTTTCCGGAGCGGGCAAAACCTTAGGTCCGAGGAGCTCTAAAATCAGGAATTGAGCAGCAAAAGCAGTATGCCTCAACTCCGGAGACGGGTGCGAGACTATTGGAGATGGCACAGCCTGCGTACGGCAGGCTGGGAGTATAAATAGGGAGAAATTAGTAGGAGTTGGACATCTTGTATCCCCCACACCTAAAATCCAATAAGCCTAGCTAGGGCGAGTTGGGTCTGCGAAAACCTACATCGTTCATTCACTTGACGCAGTTACACGAACCAAGGAACAAGGTCCCGGAATAAGAAGAATCCGGCGGTAGCCTTTTGGAATACGCCAAATCGAAGGGCGTTCGAAGGCTTCAGGACAGAAACCGGAGTTCTAGAGATGGAACCGGCATAATAACAGCCAGCTAGCGCAGTAGGCGGCTCAGCGGGATCCCTGTTACATCGGAAAAGCCTTGACCAAAGAGAATTGGGAAGGGAAGACGAAGAAAACTTGGGCATAAAGGAGCGGGAGACCAGAGTTTAGCAGCTCCGGAGTTCGAAACATACTCACAGTTTGTCAACGTCCGGCGCTGACAGAATCTCGTCAACAAACGGGGCGACGAGAATCACGACAAATCAATTAAACCATATATTCCTCGTCATAGCTGACGATTCGACCTCTATTCGCGGCCTCGACGTCCCCTCCCGAGCGGTCTGTAAAGAATACGACTCGAATCCCAGAAAACGGGAAGGCTAGGAGCCCATTCGACATAAAGTCGGACGAATTCATAGCCACGGACCTCGACAACTTGTCGAGGAGCCTGTAGATAGTACTCCTTCCAGCAGAGAACGCTGAATTAAACACACACACCCAATTCCCCCAACTCCGAGCGCGAGACAAGGCTCCAAGCTTGTTCAATAAACCTCTAGAGGACGAACAACATTTATAAACGTCACACTAGGACACAAATTGTCCAAGACGCGTATAATACCGTAGTCCACACCACACCGCCCCCGCCCCCGCCGATGCCTCCGTCACCGCCAATGCCGCTGCGAGTGCCAATGCCGCCGCCGCGAGCGCCAATGCCGCCGCCGCCAATGCCCCCGTTGCAAACACGCCTGCCTATGCCCATCCCTCCTTCGAGAATGTACCTGCGGCTGGCGCCGCCGGAGAAGGGGAAGCGGTACGCAATGCCGAGGACGAGAGCGACGGCGAATACGATGAGGGGGACGGGTTCTCTGACAGTGACGATGAGAGGGGCGACGTTGCCAGTGATGAGGAGCTCTTCATGGGTGGCGACGAGAACGATTAGGCCGCGAATGTACTTTTTTTTATGTTTTAGGAGGATTGTATTTATGGAAACGCTCCCGGGAGGGATTCTGGGGAGTTTGCACCCTGTAGCAAAGGGAAGGGTGGTAGAATTAAGGTTTCAGTCACGCATAAGGGTTCTATGACCTGCAGGGCTTTTTTTTTCATTTTTTTTCAAACCGCTTTTTGGGGTATTTTTATTTCTCATTGGAGTTTAGCACCTGCGCGGAACACGCGAGGTGGTAGGACTGAAGCTTCAGTCTTGTTACACTCGTATAAGGGTTTTTTTCCTGTCGACGAAGCGCTTTTTGGTATGTTTTAATTGCCTTTTTGAGCCTGTTCTTCTATTTTTGTTGCCGGAGATCTGCTGGATGTTGATCTCCACCTACCCTAGTAATGACGGGCCGTTTGGACCGTATGCCTATGTGCCTGTCTCCAGGACGCTGTTTAATGCCATCACCCCCCCGTGAAATAATAAAAGAAACATATTAATTAGGTGATCCCTGCCTTCCGGCGCCGATGCCGAGCCCGTGGGAATAAAATGCACACGCAGCCGACGGCCCCACGAGCGAGAACATGATGCCGAGTTGCCGCGCATGCACAAACAACACCCCCCCACCTTTTTGGGAAGGCCAGGCATTTTGCAAAATAGCCCCACACCTTTTTGTAAAAGGCCCTATGGATCGCGTCAGTACATTTTGTAAAGTCGGGGCCTTTTGAGGTGGCAGCACAGGGTCTATTTCCCCCTCCATTTTTGGCTGGATAAGACTTTGAATCGCGCTAATGACTTCCCCCACGTCTTCCCCACCACTCTCCTTCTAAATTCCGGTGGCGTCGTCGTCCTAAGCGTGACCAAGGCCATGCTCGAACTGGGCTCAGACGAGGCGACTGCGCTGACCCCCGGCCTGTATCGGCAGTGCTGTGTTAACGTGCTCACAGCTTTAAAAAAGCTCTGCCCCAACGTCCCTCGCAATGACCCCTCCTTCAAGCCGACTCCGGCTTCCGAGTTCGAGTCGCATGTCGCGTTCTGGGTGAACCAGGACACATTTGAGGATCCGGCCCTCCTTCCGGTCTGGCTCCCCATCGAGAACGAGCTCCGCTACAAGGTCCTTCAGGACTCTACATTCGATGTTGCGCATTACGAGCTCCGATGGGGCATTGTCCACACGTCTTACAAGATGGCCATGGCCCGCAATGAGACCTTCCTTCCTCCCCCCATCCACACACCGAATGTAACGCCTCCGTTGAAGCGCATCAGTCCCCCTTCCTCCTTGGATTCGAATCTGCCACTGTCAAAAAAGCAGAAGTTGCAGTCACGCAACGCGACACCTGTCTCCCGTGAGGGCTCGCCCGCGGTCCGCTCCTCCCCCGCGTGTCTGATCTGCACGCACGACCACTCGGCCTTCGATCATCCATCCGACAAGAAGTCATTCACAGACGGAACCAGTTTTTTCGTCAAGCTCGAGGACCGAAATCTGCGTACGACACAGCCCTTTCGGGGCGAGCACGCAATTGTCTGCATTTCATGGAACCTCAAGGGAAAATGCACCCACGGCAACGAGCGCCTGCACATCTGCTCGCTCTGTGGTGGGCCCCATACCGCTCTCTCCCGAGACGCCGCCTGCCGGCGCGTCCGAGGCGGAGCTTTCGTTGCATGAGTCGGGGCATCGCCTCGACTATTTTCTTGAAAACACTTCTATTGCAGCGTCTCCATTGCTTGTCTACGTCGACCTCCTACCTCTCGTCCATCGCCGCCCGCCGTTACCGGGCCCGGCCGACGTGTTTTCGTCGCTCCTGGACCGCGTGGTCCAGCCGTACGACGCAGACGCTTTCGAACGGCTTCTTGACAAGCATAAGCTTACCTCATCGTACCCCCATCTTGTGCGCAATCTTCGCGCAGGTTTCCCTCTCGGCCGTTTTCCCGTTCTCAAGCGCACCATCGTATTACCGAACCACAAGTCCGCTGTCGACGAACGTGAGGCTTCTCTCGCTTATCTCCGCACGGAACTGGACGCCGGGCGCATGGAGGGCCCTTTCTCGCGCGCAGACATGGAGCGTGTCTGTCGCGGGCCTTTCTTTGCGTCCCCTCTTCTCGTCTCTCTCAACGATCAGGGTCCGGGCCTGGACACCAAGAAACGTGTGTGCCGCAACCTCTCGAAGGGCGACAA